GGAATGAGCCATGATTGCACCACTGCACTCCAGCCTGGGTGACAGAGCAAGACCCTGTCTTAAAAATAAAAAGCCCAAACAAACAAGATTGTTTTGGCTGTTTAAGTTTCATATGAATTTTAGAATTGTTTTTTCAATATGTGTGTAGGGAGTGCCATTTGAAATTTGTTACGGATTGCCTTGAATCTGTAGATCATTTTGGGTAGTTATTATATTCCTCTAATTCACAAACATGGGATGTCCTTCCATATATCTAATCATCTTTAATTTCCTTCATTAGTATCTTGTAATTTTGAGTGTACAAGTCTTTCTCCTCTTTGGTTAAGTTTATTCCTATGTATTTTATTGTTTTTGTTGCTATCATAAATGGGAATGTTTGCTTATTTCCTTTTTGGATAATTTATTGTTAGTGTATAAAAACACTGCAGAATTTTGTATGTTGATTTTGTACCCTGAAGATTTATTGAATTTGTTAATTAGTTCTAGCAGATTTTTTATTGAGTTTTTAGAGTTTTCTACATGTGTAAATAATCTTTTTTTTTTTTTTGAGACGGTCTCACTCCGTCACCCAGGCTGGAGTACAGTGGCATAATCTCTGCTCACTGCAACCTCTGACTCCTGGGTTCAAGCAATTCTCTTGACTCAGCCTCCCTAGTAGCTGGAATTACAGGCACCTGCCACCATGCCTGGCTAGTTTTTGTATTTTTAGTAGAGACAGGTTTCAGCATGTTGGCCAGGCTGGTCTCGAACTCCTGACCTCAAGTGATCCACCTGCCTCGGCCTCCCAAAGTGCTGGAATTACAGGTGTGAGTCACTGTGCCTGGCCATGTGTAAATAATCTTGTCATTTGCAGAGATAATTTTATTCCTTTCTCTTCAACTGGGATGCTTTTTACTTCTTTCTTCTGTCTGGTGTGTTTTGGTTAGGCTTTCCAGTATTATGTTGATAATAGTAGTAAGAGTGGGCATCCCTTCCTTGTATCAGATCTTAGAGGAAAAGCTTTCAGTTTTTCTCCATTGACTATGAAGTTAGCTGTTACCTTTACATATATGACTTTTATGTATTGAGGTATGTTCTTTCTATACCTATATTGTTGAAAGTTTTTTTTTTTTTTTGGTCATGAAAGGATTTTAAATTGTGTCAAATGATTTTTCTGTTATCTATTAAGATGATCATGTGGTTTTTACCTGTCATTCTGTTAATGTAGCATATATGGCATTAATTGATTTGCATATGCTGAACCATTCTTGCATTCCAGAGATAAATCCCACCTGTTCATGGTGTATGATCTTTTTTTTTTTTTTTTGAGATGGAGTTTCGCTCTTGTTACCCAGGCTGGAGTGCAATGGCGCGATCTCGGCTCACTGCAACCTCCACCTCCTGGGTTCAGGCAATTCTCCTGCCTCAGCCTCCTGAGTAGCTGGGATTACAGGCACGCGCCACCGCGCCCAGCTAATTTTTTTTGTATTCTTAGTAGAGACGGGGTTTCACCATGTTGACCAGGATGATCTCGATCTCTTGACCTCGTAATCCACCCGCCTCAGCCTCCCAAAGTGCTGGGATTACAGGCGTGAGCCACCGCGCCCGGCCCTGGTGTATGACCTTTTTAATATGCTGTTGAATTTGGTTTGCTGGTATTACATTGAGGATTTTCGTGGCTATATTCATCAGTGGTAGTGGCCTATGGTTTTCTTTTCTTGTGATATTTTTGTCTGGCTTTTATATTAGGGTGATGCTGAGCTCTAAAGTGAGTATGAAAGTGTTCCCTATTCTTCTGTTTTTTTAAAGAGTCTAAGAGGGATTGGTATTAGTTCTTCTTGGAATGCTTGTTAGAAAAACCCATGGTCCTGGGCTTTTCTTTGGATTAGGAGGTATTTGATTACTGATTCAATGTTATTTCCTTTCAGATTTTTATTTCTTCTTGATTTATTTCTGGTAGGTTGTATGTTACTAGGGATTTTCTATTTCTTCTAGATTATCCAATTTGTTGGTGTATAATTGTTTGCAAATTGTCCCTTATAACCTTTTAATTACTGAGTCATCCGTTGTAATGTCTTCTTCCTTATTCGTCTTTTTTTCTTAGTTTAGCTGAGGATTTGTTGATGTTATCTTTCCAAAAAAATCAACTCATCGTTTTTTAAATTTTTTTCTATTGTGTTTCTATTTGCTATTTATTTCTGCTCCAATCTTTACTATTTCCTTTTCTCTGCTAACTTTGAGCTTAGTTTGGTTTGTTTCCCCTAGTCTCTTAAGGTATAAATTCAGTCTATTTATTTGAGATCTTTCTCCTTTACTGTATCCATTTATCACTATAAATCTGTCTTGTAACATAGCTTTTACTGCATCCCATACATGTATGTTGTATTTAGATTTTTATTTGTCCCAAGATATTTCTTGAATTTCCTTTTGATTTCTTCTTTGACCCAAGCTTTGTTAGAGTGTTGTTTTCCCATATTTGTAATTTTTTTCATTTTCTTACTGTTCTTGATTTCTAGTTTCATTCCATTGTGGTTAGAAAAGATCTTTGGTATGATTTCCACATTTTTTACATTTGTTAATACTTGTTTTACTTAATATATGATCTATCCTGGAGAATGTTTTGTGTGCACTTGAGAAGAATGTATATTCTTCTGTTGGATGAAAAGTTATATATTTATCTGTTAGGTCCATGTTGTCCATAGTGTTGTTCAAGCTGTTTTTTTTAAATTGATTTTCTGTCCAGATGTCCTATCCATTATTGAAATCAGGGTGTTGAAGTCTCCTACTGTTATTGTATTACAGCATTTCTCTCTTTAGATAAATCAATATTTGCTTATCTAGGTACTGATGTTGGGTGTGTATGTATTTATAATTGTATCTTCTTGTTCAGTTGGCCCTTTTATCATTATATAATGATCATTTTGCCTCTAGTTGCAGTTTTTTACCTATAGTCTATTTTGTCTGGCATCAGTATAGCCATCCTTGCTCTCTTTTGGTTAAAATATGCATGGAATATCTTTTACTATTGCTTTACTTTCAGCCTATGTGTGTCTTTAAATCTGAAGGGAGTCTCTTGTAGACAACATACAGTTGGATCTTGTTTTTAAATCCATTCGGTTATTCTATGTCTTTTGATTGGGGAGGTTAGTCTATTTGCATTTAAAGTAATTATCAATAGGCAAAGGCTTACTTATTGCCAATTTGGTAATTGTTTCTGGTCTGTTTTGTTGCTCTGTATTCATTTCTCCTCTCTGTCTTCCCTTGTGATTTGATTATGTCTTGGGCTTGCAAAAAGCATCTTACAGTTAAAACTATCTATTTCAAGCTGATACTAACTTCAGTCTCATACGAAAACGCTATTCCCCCCAACCTTTTGTGTTCTTGAAGTCAATGTTTAATTCTCTTTATAGTGTGTATCCATTAACAATTTTTTGTGGTTATAATTATTCTTAATATTTTTGTATTTTAGCTTTTATATTAGGGTAAAAAGTAATTTATATACTACTATACTGTTACATTATTCTATATTTGGTTGTATATTTACTTTTACCAGTGAGATTTATACTTTCATGTTGCTATTTAACATATTTTCATTTCAATTTGAAGAATTTCCTTAAGCATTTCTTATAAGGTAGATCTAGCAGTAACTCCCTCAGTTTCATTTGTCTGGGAATGACTTTCTCTTTCCTTTATTTTTAAAGGCTATTTTTGTCAAATACAGTGTTCTTGTTTGGTAGTTTTTTTCTTTTAGAATTTTGAATACATCATCCTATTCTATCATTGGCTGAAAAAAGATTCTGCTGAGCAATCCACTGAGAGTCTTACGGACAATTAGCCTTATCCCTTAACAAAAACTGATGATTTGATCCTCATACAAAGGGAAGAACTGATAAGAATATGAGATATCTTAGGCAGGCATGGTAGCATGTACCTGTTGTCCTACCTACTTAGGAGGCTGAGGTGGGAGGATCACTTGAGCCTAACAGTGACCTGTGATCATGCCACTGCACCCTAGTCTGGGCAACAAAGTGAGACCCTGTCTCAAAAAAAAAAAAAGAATATAATTTCAATCATTATAATAGTTTAATAAAAGTAACCACTAGCTAATAAAACCAAATTATTTTCTAATGAACAAATACCCTACTTAAATGAATTTGATTTCTAAAAACAATGCAGCAAAACTGAAGTCAATTTGAGGGAGCCACATTATTCAGTGTTCTCCTTTTTTTGCTACTGTTAATTTACTAAAACTCATACTCTGGTGGCATAGCCACAGTCACTGAAGCAGCAGACAGAAAACAGTGACAGGTTTTGCCTCTCTAGCCTACAGGGTCAAACAATCACCTTCCATCAAACTCACTTAATTCTTCATTTGTCTAACATATTTACTGATGCCTGCTCTGTGTAAGGCATCCACTCTGTTATGGTATCAGATACAGTCGGTTCCTGACATCCACATGGGGTGGAGAAGACAGAGACGATAGAAACAGAGGGTTTAAATAAACAAGGTAGTTGCAGTTAGGGACGAAGGCTCTGGAGGAAATAAACTGGGCGATGAGATAGGGAGTTCTCAGGAAAGGCCACTTTGGATGCCTGAGGAGATGCTGTCTGAGCTGTGACTTCAGGAGGAAGAGCAGACTGTGGAAAAATCTGATAGGGTGTCCCTCCACAGGCAAAATAAATAGGGTTCAGGTATGAAAAAGCTCTTTTTCCTGAGCTGGGAAGTATAAGTGGGACCACCATTCAATACTTGGCCACAGTAGGCTCACGTGGGTCCATCTCCTCTCAATTCATGCTGAGTTTCTATATGGAATATAAGACACCTGGGCTGTGATGTAGTTCTCTAAGGAACTTCACTCCAAGGGGAAATTTTGAAAGAATTACCCTTGTTTCTAAGGACTGTGCTTACATTCTATTGTGGACATATGCCTTTGGAGGCCTATTCTCTTTTTTTTGTTAACTTGACATCTGGTAAAACAAAATTTTGTGTAGCAATTAAAACAAAAAAATAGACATGGCACTTTCTCAGTTAAAATAGTTTAATAAAAGCATCAAAACTGTGCTAAAGATGAGAACCAAAAATGAGATATTAGGCAGACTTATAAAACAAAGTACAGTTATTTTTTCATTTCACATAAACTATGATGTACAAAATTGTAAATGCCAACATGTCTGAGAAAACCGTTAACAGTCCTTTTAGCAATTTACATATGAAGATGTTTTTTAAAGTGCCACAGCTTAAGGCATTATATTTTAAAGTTTAATAAACATCTAATTTCAACATCTCACAAAGAACAGACTTCTTCTCAAGTAAGCTCTAAACTCTTTGGTTAGGAATACTGAAAATGCATGTATAATTTAAGGAGTAATACATTTGTTAATGCTTAGTTATTAGTGCAATTCAAAAGCATATGAATTCCATATCAAGAACAAACTGTCCTGCTTAAGGTACAGTGTAATCCACACTGTGTCATCTCATCTAAAAATCTGTACAGCAGCCACCCCATCCACTCAGTTCCTTGCAGTTAGTCTATTATCTTTTCTTTTGCAAAAAGCAAAATTCCTAAGACACCTAAAGATTAGTCTGTATTTCATTTATCTGCATTGAAGGTGTTTAATAATATTTCTAAAAGGACAAGAGCAGTATGGTAGATAATGTAAACAATGTAGAGTCAAAAACCAATCAATACTTTTATTGATAATCATTTTAAAATAAAATAATATTTTTTTCTTCCTCTGATTATGTTTTGATTAAGCTGATATTATTTTAATTTTTTTGAGCTTGCAAAAATCTGCCTAGCAATGTGCCAAATGAAATGAAAAATCTAGCCTCATGTTCACAATTGCCCTGGAATGCCATTCACAGACTAAGATCTAACTACACAGAGTGTGGCTAATGGCAGATGAAGTCAGAGGTTAGGGAGATCTGGTGTCTCCATTTATCTGGAAAATGGAGCATAGAGGGTGATCAGTTACAGGAGGCTGGTCAAACAGAAGTGCTTAAGTTCAGGGTTTCATCTTATGTTTAATTCTCAAAGTAACAACGACTCTGGATCTTTTCTCAATCTCTTCTCTATCAATCAGTAGGAACAGGAGTAGCTGCTTCTCTCCTTTAGGAAAGTGAATGAGAGGCCCCTGGATGTGGCCTAGTCTCCAGGTGCTGGGAGCTTACATTCTGTTATATAAAAACAGCTAAGGCATCATTCCAAGTTTGTTTAAAATGGTTGTTTTAAATGATAAAAATCCAGTTTTTTTTTTAAAAAAAAAAAACTGGGTTTAATGGACATTAACAAATAACATGCACTCACTTTTTATCACCTTTAAGCAAAAACTAAAATCTTGAACAAAAAGATAATAACAAAAATACAACCTGTAATAATTAAAATAAGGTAGGATTTTTCTCTTAAGTACACTTCTTAAAAGTCATTCACAAGATGACTGGGCATCCACCAAGACGAAGGCACTGTAAGGGAGTCAAACAGCACATCTTCACCTCAAGGAGCTCAGCATGGGATGAAGATGGACATATACAACTCCAGCATGAGGCCAAGTGGGTAGTCTGCTATGGGATCAAGTGGAGGCAGAGTTGAGAAGTGGTTCTGAAAGGGTTCTTTAGTCACAAAGACCAGTAGGTTTGAAATGCAGTCATGTAACTTTTTAACTTTTTGCCTTACCTTCTCTAAGCCTCAGCTTCATCAGCTACAGAATGCCACCCTCTTAGTAGAATTTCTGTAAGAATTATAGAAACATACAAGTAAAGCATTAAGTGGAGAGCCAGCATGAGGAGAGGTTCAGGAATATGGTTGCTCATATGACTGCTATGCTTACTTCTGTACATGGAGCACTGGGGGAGAATAAAAGAAAGGGGTGGTCATTCTTTGGAGCATGTTCTTGTTGGGGGAAATCCTGGCATCTTGAGCAGGACAATTCTTCACTGTATAGGACTACCTTGACATTTAGCATCTGGTCCCATAGCAGCAGAAGGCCAGTAGCACCCCCTTCATTATGATAACCAAGAAACACACCCACACATTTCCAAACACCCTCTGAAGGGGTTACCACCTCTGCTGAAAACTGCTCTTCCAGAGGGCCTTCTACATTTAGAAAAAATTTAAGTTTTCTTAAGAAAAAGAATAAGAATGTCTTCCTGTTTTTGAGAGTATATTCAAGGATCAGATACATTGGGCCTGGTGGCAGGGAGGCTAGGACAGGAATGTTCAGTATAGTTTGAAAGCAGAATCCTTTTCTGATGAGTCCCAGTATCAAAATCCCCAAGCTCACCATTCAGGCCTTAAGTCAAAAGGTAGAGCTGCATCTTTGCAAATAACTTAGCAGAAAGAAATTCTGCCATGAAGCCACTTATTTAGGAAGGCTCACTTCCTGTAGTTGAAGTGGAAGGTAGACATATAAATTTAGACAATAATCCTACAAGGGATTTTAAAAAATCATAATTTCTTTTTTCCTCCATATACACAACAGGGTCCACTTCATCCCATGTCTACAAAAAGTAAAAACTAAAATCATAAAAAGGTAATAACAGAACAAGTCCAAAGAAGCTGGCATAGAATCTGTGCTGAGAAAAGTTCTCCCCCAGTATAACCTAAATCCACAGTCATCTCTGAAAAAGCATTCCAGGCTGAACACCACTTTCATGTTGTCACAGGTCTTTAAAAGCCAGCAGGTAGATCTTCTCCTGAATTTCTTCTCCAGAACTAAACAGCATTTTAGAGATACCAGAAAAGATGTAAGGCATTTCACCATCATTAGTGCTGAGAGGTAGAGAGAAGCCAATTTTTATTACTCTCATTTTACATATGGAATGTCTGAGGCACTGAGAAATGAGAAATTGGCCCATCAGTGGAAGCCACTGCAAATAAAATCCAGATCTCCTGTTTCGTAGGCACTTTGGTTTCTATCCCCCAAATCCTGCATTACTAAAATGGCTCAAGTATCCTGCTGAGGAATCCTCCAAGATGAAAGCTCCCAGTGTGCTCTACTCTCCTTCCTATCTCTCCAGTCTGAGCCTAACCTGGATCTACTGAGTTGCTGGATTCACTGTCTCTTGCAGTAGGAAGAATCTGCTTAGAAGGATATGTATGTATATATCTTTTTACCATCTCTTCTTGGAGATGCTCTTCATCTCCTTGAAATGGTTATATTAAATGGATGTGGAGCTAAAGTTAGACCAAATCTTCCAGTCAGGCGGGGCTTCTTACAATCCTTAGGTAAAGCAAATGCAAAACTCTGCATTAGGCTCACAAACATCAGGAATAATTCCATCTTTGCCAGTTGTTCTCCCATACACACCCGCTTCCCTAAAAATGAGATCAGAAAAAAAAAATTAAGGATTATAATACCATTCCTTCTCCTATTTCAAAAAGTGCAAATTTATATGAAATATCTAAATTGAGTATTTTAAATGCAGATAGAGTTTTTAAATCAAATTGCCATATATACCACATAGCTTCCTACAACATATGCTGATCAGAATTTTTACATATCAAATCCACATTTTAATTCCTACTCATAAAAACCTATCCTCATTCTACACAGGAATTAGAGACGGATCCAATGTGGCAGCTACCCTGTCTCTCCCATGCCAACTTATCTTTTTCCTTCACTTTTCCCTGAAAGATAAAGGGAAAAAAATCCAGATAAGAATCCCTGGAGCCTCCCTTTTTCCATAGAAAGAATCCTATGTTCCTAATCTAGGAACCTAAAAGAGGAAGTGTTGAGATTGGAGAGCCCATCCTCTCACCCACCAGACCAGATCAGAAATTGCTCTTAACCTCAGTAGCTCCCTGGGACCCCCCAAAATCACCTGATCAGCTCTAAAAGTAAGATTTCCAGTCACATTTAGAGATTTTAAACCAATTGCTTTATTAAAATCTGAAATGAACATAATGGAGATGCCTTATTTAAATTATTGATCCCTTCTTTTATATTAGCTGGCCAAGAAAGAAACATTTTTAAAACAACATGAAATAATAAAATACTATTTTAGTTCTACTTATTTTAAAAATTATGCAATTTTAAAAAGGTATAACTGACCTATCCCGAAAGGAATAAAGGTTTCTTTTTTAATTAGTTGCCCTTGGTCATCCAGAAATCGATTAGGGTAGAAATCCTCTGGTTTCTCCCAAATGGCTGGGTCTCTGTGTACTGACCACAGGTTGGGTAAAATTAATGTGCCTTTAGGAATGGTATACCCTTGGAGCACTAAAACAAAAGAAAACATAGGGATGTTATTCATTATGCTTTTACTAGTAGTTCTCCCTAAACATCATTTTCTGAAAAAAAAAAAAAAAGTAGTTATATACCTAGCCCCTTAATTGGCCGAGACCAAACTGTGAGGTACTTGAGGGCAGGGATAAGGTCTTATCAACTGGCATCCCTCTCCTCACACCATCCCAGGACTCACCTGAGACAGGGAGCAGGCAGTGCTCCAATGAATGTTGAGTTAATAAATTAAATAAAACCATAAAAACATTACAATAAAGAGAAAACACTAAAATAGAAACAACAGGCATTCCAAGTAAACTTTCCCTAAAAATTAAAATTCCTAATATGTATGCAACTTAGTTTATAGGGTCACTTATGTCCATATAACAATGTGATGAGGATGTAAACTAAGATAAAGAGATGTACAGGGCAGCCAACCCTGGCTCTTACTAGGTAACAAGTCAATATGCACTTTAAACAATGCCCAAAAGATGCTGTACACACAGTCTATATAACTTGTACCAAAAAAACCTGTTACATGATCCAATGTCATTTATAAGCAACAGCATGCTATACCTGTCTTAAATCTAGATCAAGCCCATTATATTATGGGCTCTCTCCAGAGGTAAATTCCCTGTTAATAGGGATAAAGAGAGTCTGGACATGACTAAATAGACATATTTCACTGTAGTTGAGAGGTTAAAACTGGTGACTTTGGAATAAGATGGGCTATTCTAATTCTTTTTTTGGACAGGGTCTCATTCTGTTACCCAGGGTGAAGTGCAGTGGCGCAATCTTCACTCACTGCAACCTCCGCCTCCCAGGTTCAAGTGATTCTCCTGCCTTAGCCTACTGGGTAGCTGGGACTATGGGAGTATGCCACCGTGTCTGACTAATTTTTGTATTTTTAGTAGAGATGGATTTTCACCATGTTGGCTAGGCTGGTCTTGAACTCCTGGCCTCAAGTGATCCACCCTCCTGGGCCTCCCAAAGTGCTGGGATTTCAGGTGTGAGCCACTGTGCCTGGACTTTTTTTTTTTTTGAGATAGTCTTGCTCTATTACACAGGCTGGAGTGCAAAGGCACACTCTCAGCTCACTGCAACCTCCCAGGTCCAAGTGATTCTCCTGCCTCAGCCTCCTGAATAGCTGGGACTACAGATATGCACCATCATGCCTGGCTAATTTCTGTATTTTTAGTAGGGATGATGTTTCACCATCTTGTCCAGGCTGGTCTTGAACTCATGACCTCAAGAGATCTGTCTGCCTGCCTTGGCCTCCCAAAATGCTGGGATTACAAGTGTGAGCCACCATGCCCAACCTTCTAATTCTTTAATATTATGCTTCAGCTGCAGAATTTTAAAAGTTGAAGTAAGATAACTTTCAGGCAAAATCCTTAACTCCACATTTAGACTAGCTCTTCTGACCTCCATGAAAAGGAGCCTTTGTCAATTCTGGAACTTTTTCTGCCAACGTAGCCAATTTAAATTGTGGCATTATTTGTTTTGCCATTATAAGTGTGTATGCTCGGAAGGCTAGAGAGCTACTAATAAAACTAAGCAGTGGTGGAATTCTAGTACAACAGTAATGCACAGCGGAGGGCTGGACATTCCCTAGACTTTTTATTATCTATGATACAATGGAAAATCTTCAGAAGGATCAAGCCAGGCAACAGTCACCACACCCCTCACCTCAACTACCCTGGATTAGAGAGGGCCCTACGTCCATCAAGGGTATTCAAAGAGGAAGACCCTGGACTTGCCTGTGTTCTCTGAGGTCATATGAGGAATGGCAAGCGGCACCACCACAGTTAGCCTCTGCACTTCCATGATGGTGGCTTCTGTATAGGGCATCTGGGCTTTGTCCATGAGAGAAGGAGCTCGGTTGGTGCCAATGACCCTTTCAATTTCTTCATGAACCTTTTCTATGTATAAAGGGAAGAATAAACCAGAAGATAAGCATGGGAGAGAGTTGAACCTGCCTTCTGCATATTTTCCATCACCACTAACATATAATTGATCAGCTGGCAGTTCAGGCCTGACTCTTCCTCAGTGAAACTGAAGCATTGGTCAGAAATTTCAAGTAGAGACAGCTAGCCGCAGGGTCCCTGTGCCACCCTGTGACTTAGAAGTGGAATAGCAGAACAGATAGAGGGGCCAAAGAGAAAGCACTCTGGATTCAGGAGCAACCTAAGTCAAACTCTCATGTGAACATGGGATTGCTCTCTAAATAGACTGTGACCCCATATGATAGCTTAAGGTGTCCTCCAGTGATCCCCATTCTTGTGGTTTATATCCTGGTGCAGTCCTCTCTGTACTAAGTCCCCACTCTGTACTAAGTTGGTGTATGTGACCAAGAGAATAAGAGAGAAGTGAGGGCATGTCACTTCTGAGACTAGATTATAAAAGACAGTGTGGCTCCTCATCTTTGCCAATCTCTCTCTCTCTCTCTCTCAGGTTGCTCACTTTTAGGGAAGGAAGCCACTAAGTGAAGCAGCCTTATGAAGGGGTCAGAGTGGTAAGGAACTTGGCCAACAGTCATATGGATAGCCACCTTGGATGTGGATCCTTTGGTCTCAGTCAGGTCTGCAGCCCCAGCCAACATGTTAACTCTAACTTCATGAGAAACCCTAAACTGGAAGTCATTCCTGGATTCTGGACCCTCAGAAAATGGGAGATAATATATCGTGGTGATTTTTTTAAAGCTGGTAAATTTTGGGGTAGTTGTTACTCAGCAATAATTAACTAATTAAGTCAGGTATAATAACATGTATAGTAGGCAGAATAATGGTCCATATAAGATGTCCACACCCTAATCCCCTGGAGCCTGTAAATATAATACCTTACATGGCAAAAGGGACTAAACTGATATAATTAACTTAAGGACATAGAGATGGGAAGATTATCCTGGGTCATCTGGGTGTGCTCAATCTAAGAACATGGGTTTTTCAGTCAGATTACATTTGCCTGTTGAGTTCAGAGTCAGAGGAAGATGTGACTATGAACAAATGGTTAGAGAAATGCAACACTGCTGTCTTCAAAGAGAGAAGAAGGAAGCCGTGAGCTGTGGAAGCCAGAAACTGCAAGGAAAATGATTCTTCTTTAGTGCCTCCAGAAAGGAATGCAGCCCTGACAACCTGATTTTCAGCCCAATGAGACACATACCAGACTTCCAATGTGTAGAACTCTAAGAAACTTGTGTTGTTTTAAGCCACTCAATTTGTGGCAATTTTATGACAGCAACAGAAACTAATATACAGCATACTCCTTGTATTCTTCTACTCTGAACTGCCACTGACTTTCAGGATCTATTTGGACTGAGGTGGTAGAACTAGTTGTGTGACCTTGTGAAAGTCACACAACTTCTCTGAGCCTCTGTTCTCCAGTTTCACACACACACAATGTTCAGATGAACATTATGATTCCTTCAATTCTAGAATGTCCTTCTCTAAAGGTCTTTCACAATCATAGATTTCACACAGAATCAGACCTGTAGAGATTTAAGCAGGGGTAAGCAAGTTATGACATTAGGCCTACTGTCTAGAAACTTGGGTTTCACTGTTAACATCTTACCAACTCCCTCTGATTTGCAAGTATTTGTTTCCCAGCCTGAAGACACTGGCTCAGGGTTAGGAGCCACCAGATCACTGAGGTTGCTAATCCTAATTTAAACTACCTGGTTTTGCCATGAACAAAGGAAACACCTATTAATTACCTTGTACTTCGGGGTTCAGCGACATATACAGCAGGCACCAAAGCAAAGAGTTCGTTGTTGTATCAGTCCCAGCAATAAAGAGATCCCCAATGATATAAAATAAGTACTCTTCATCAAAACTGCTATTACTATTATTTTTCCTCTCCTCTTCCATGTGGAGAAGGTACATGTCTATGAAATCCTGAGGGTTCTCTCTGTCCAGAGACTCTTGATGGTCTTTGATGATTTTTTTAAGGAAACTTGTTATATTCTTTTCAATTTGTCTTAATTCCTTAAATGGTCCAAAGGGAAGGTAATAAAGCCAAGGGCATATGTTGACCAGGAGAACTTGACTGTTCAGACAGATTTCTAGCCCTCGTGACATAAAATTAAGCATTTTCTTAAATTCACTATTGGTGTAATCAAAGCGCTGGCCAAAGCACAAGGAGCAGATGATGTTAGAGACGGCATTGCTGATGATAGAGAAAGGGCAGAAGGGGTCTTCTCCGTGCTTTTGCATTTCCGCTTTCACATATTTGAACTCCTCAATAATTTTGGGCTCCAAGCTAAGTTTTCCCAACCCAAAATGACGAAGAGTTGAATGAGAGAACTTCCTTTGTTGTCTCCAGACAGGACCATAATGTGCAAACACAACCCCTGCAAAGGGACATCAAGAAAGGAAGATGAGAAACGGCATTCCTGATAACACTGAACAGGATGTACCACGGAGTGGATTCTATATTTTTCAAGTCACTTATGGAAAACTCCTCATATACAGCTAAAGACCACTAGTCAAGAAGAATGATTGGTAAAATTTAGTTATCAAGATAGTATGTTTTTCTAATAATAACAAAAATCATATCTAATTAAATTAGGAGAATTTGCTCTAAAGATTATTATAGATAGTAACTCCCGATGAAATGAAAAGCAGTGAATTTCAATTTCCAAAGTTAGTGTGCATTTCAAAGTATTAGATTTCATAAGTCTGAATCCAGGCTTAGGAAATTTCTCAGGTGGCCAGATACAGTGGCTCATGTCTATAATCCCAGAGCTCTGGGAAGCTGAGGTGGGTAGACTGCTTGAGGACAGGAGTTTAAGTCCAGTTTGGGTACAGAGCAAGAGCCCTTCTCAAATAAATAAATAAATAGTAAGCCGGATGGGGTAGCATGCATCTGTAAGCCCAGGTACTCAAGAGGCTAAGGTGGGAGAATCACTTAAGCCCAGGGGTTGGAGACTGCAGTCAACTACGATCATGCCACTGCACTCCAGCCTGGGTGACAGAGCAAGACCCTGCCTCTAAAAAAAGAAAAAAAGACAGAAAAATATTTCAGGCTATATATTCCCATATTCTAAAATCTTATATTCTAAACATTCTGAACTGAGGAATAATTTTAGTAACATATTAACATGAGGGCAGAGACCATATCTCCAGCTTCTAGCATAGTACTTGGTACATAAGAGGAGGCTGTTAAATATTGCCTGACTAAATGAATAGCCCAAGTAGATTAGAGCTATTGGACATCAAAATTTGGAATCTAATAAACTGGCAGGTGATCTAAAATGTCTGTTAATGGCAGCAGCCCTGATTTTAAAACATATGAACTTGTTAAGGTCATCCACAACTACATCTTATTTGATTTTCACTTATACATCCCACCATCAAACTCCACAATATTGCTCCCAGATGTTGTATCAAATTGTTCTCAAATATTCTTTGTTTTCTGTCACCTAATTCATCCTATTTTCCGTGGTATACTCTTATCATTTCAGCTAGTTCTCCCTCCTTCCTACATTACTTCTGAATTCTTACTATCTGCCAGGCATGGGGGTTCAGTAGATACAACTGCAAGTGAAATAAAGACCATGCTCTGTGGTTAAATTTTCTCATATTCTATAATATTCCTATAAAATGTCTTTCGATCTAAACATCCATGCAGTCAAATGTATCACACAATTTATCAGTTCTGCTTCCCTTGCTGGAATCTTCCAAATGCCTGCTCAAATCTGCAGTGGTTGCTCTGTAGGCCTTTGGTTCAGGTTTTATAACTTCTATTAGTTATCATTTAGGAATTTCTGTGTCAGGGCTGGGCATGGTAGCTCACACCTGTAATCCCAGCACTTTGGGGGCTGAGGCAGGCAGATCACCAGGTCAGCAGTTCAAGACCAGCTTGTCCGACATGATGAAACCTAGTGTCTCCTAAAAATACAAAAATTAGCCAGGCGTGGTGGTGCACGCCTGTAATCCCAGCTACTCATGAGGCTAAGGCAGGAGAATTGCTTGAACCCAGGAGGCAGAGGTTGCAGTGAACCGAGATCATGTCACTACACTCCAGCCTGAGCAACAGAGCAAGACTCTGTTTCAAAAAAAAAAAAAAAAAGACTCCTCTGTGTTGGAACCCATATCCTGAATTATATTCTTCTTTGTTTTACTCCCTCATTTTGCTGAAGCATATCCTCTGAGAAAGGATGCATGGGAGGGGAATTTCTAAAGACTTTCAATGTTATTTAATCTACCATTGGACTTCCTCAGAATTTTAAAGACATTGCTAAGACTGGACTGACTGATGAGCCATAAGATAGGTACATATTTAGTATGACTCAACATTGCAGTTTACTCTCTGAAGTGCAGAGTACTCTGAAAGTTTTTTCACTGAAGTGTTTAAATGTTCTCATTTGTTCAGAATAGTTGCCATCACTTGATATTTGTCAATGTTTTTAGTTTTGTTAATCAGAAGGCTGAAACGTATCTCATCTGATTTTTATTTGCATTTCTCTGTTACCAGTGGGTCAAAGCAGCTTCTTATATGGTTATTGGCCAGGTTTCCTATTCTGTAATTTGCATTTATCTGCTGTGCAATTTTCTTTTTCTTATATATTTGATATCCATAGCAGATCTTTTCTCTTATCGTGTGATTTTTTTTTTACTTTTTAAATTGTATTATTTAATAAACAGAAGTTTTAAATATAGTGGGATTTTCTTTGATTTGTGCTGCATGTCTTCTTTTAGAAATCTACCATGGGTTCATAAACACATTCTCTATTTTCTTGTACAAATTTAAATTTTGTTTTTACATTTAAGTTTCTATAATCTACCTGGAATTTATATTTGTGTTGGGTATACCTACCTATTGTGAGGTAGGAATCCAAACACTTTTTCCCCGTGTAGACAACCTATTGTTCAAGCATCATTTGTCAGTTGGTCCCCACTACACCTTACCCTTCACCACCAATCTGTAATGCTATCTCTGACACACATTTCCTGTATATGGGTGGGCCAGTTTACAGGCTTTCTAGTTGGTTATATTGGTCTCTGTGTTTATCACTGTGCTTAAAGCTCATTGTCTTAATTACTGTTATTTTATAATAAGATATAGACTTTATAGTTATTTTTTGTCTCTAATAGGGAAGTCCCTCTTCCCTACAAAACCTCGTTCTTTTTAAAAACTGTTTCAAAAACTTCAAAATCAGTTTCTCAAACTTATCTTGGGATTTTAGTTAGAACTGCATTTACTTTCTTTTTCTTCTTTTTTTTTTTTGTTTAAAAAAAAAACAGAGGTCTGGGGGATCCACAGAGCAAGGAAGTGTTTGTTGAGGTGCAGGCAGTGGATGGAAGAGCCTAATAGGTGGTGACTGGCAGCTAAGTTGATTCCTGGGAGGGCTCGGGTTCATCCCCAGGCCTCAGGCCCACTCTGAGCCTGTTTTTCTCCTGATGTGGCCTCCAAGACCCTAGGAGAGGCATAATTTCTGCTGGCAGAACTTGGCTTGGATGACCACTTTGCAGCTCCTATGTCTTCATTCTCAGGCAGCTACACTTAATTTCTAGATTAATTTGAAAATTGCCTTCTTGATGATGATTGAGCTTGTAATCTAAGAATGAATCTAAACTTGCTTGTTTTTAAGTTTCTTTTAAACATTGCTGGATTTGGTTTCCTAATGTAAGTTTTTTAAAATAGTATATTCACGAATGACAATGGCTTATAGGTTTTCTTTCTCATGCTGTATTTGTCTGAATATACTGGCCTCCTAAAATAAGCCAGGGTATAGTCTTTGTCTCTGAAATAATTCATCTAAAATTGGAACATGTTTCTATGTTTCTCTTTTCCTTAGGTTATTCTCTTCTTTTTTATAATACATAAAGTTAGCCATCTGACTCATTAATTTTCAGACCTTTATCTTAATAAATAATTTAAAGCTCTACATTTACCTTGTCTGGGTATGACTCTAGCTGCAATCCACAAGTCTTGTTCCATGTATTTTCATTATTTAGTTTTAAGTACAACAACAATAACAAAATATGCTTCTATTTTGAGTCTTCTTTGCTTTCTTACCTGGTTTATCTTATGCTGACATTTGCTTGCTGTTTTACCCTAGTATGTGGCCAATGAAATTTCTAAATAAAGTTGAGAAGAATGTTTGTCCAAGTAATTTTGAGGAATATGTCCTCTGTATATCTCCAATAGGGAAAGCTTGGTAACAGTCAAAACCAAATTTTCTGTATCCTTAACAAATTTTTAACTGCTTGATCTCTCAACCAAATACTTACATTAAGCTGTTTTGTTTTAATGGTGGATTTTTCAGTTTCTCTTTAGAGTTCTGTAAGTTTTTGCTAAAGGTAGATAAATATCAATGTAGCTATACAGATTTATATTTATCTATGGTATTAGATGCAGATATATGTTAGATAACATTGTTAGGTACATTCAAACTTAGAATTATATCTTCCTGTTTTTTCATTTTTTAAAAAATTGATCCTTTTATCATGAATGCCCTCCTTTTTTTTTTTTTTTTAAATAAAGTATCACTTAGAGTACATTTCGTCAAAAAGGAACCCGCTTTCCTTTTTAAAGTATTTCCTTGGTACTATAAAACCTTTCCATTTTGAACTTTTCTATTCCCTTATGTGGGGGAATGTCTTTTTTTGGGGGGGAAGACAGATTATGTCTCCTAAAACACTATATAATTAGATTTTTAAAAAATCCATCCTGGCAAGCTGTCCTTTAGCCAGTAAGTTTAGTCCTTTTACATTTATTCTAATTACTCATTTCTAACATTACTATTTTGAGATTCACCTGCTTTGTTAATTCCTGCCCCACCTTGTTCTCATCTTCTTTTAAGTAGAGACAAACAGAGTGAACGTTCAATCTTACATTTTTTTTCTCTTTTTTTTGAGATGGAGTCTCACTGTGTCACCCAGGCTAGAGTGCAGTGGCACAATCTTAGCTCACTATAGCCCTAACTCCCAGGTTCAAGCGATTCTCCTGCCTCAGCCTCCCAAGTAGCTGGGCCTATAGGCATGAGCCGCCATGCCCAGCTAATTGTGTTTTCAGTAGAGATGGGGTTTTACCATATTGGCCAAGATAGTCTCGATCTCTTGACCTCGTGATCTGCCCGCCTTGGCCTCCCAAAGTGCTCGGATTATAGGCATGCACCACTGCACCCAGCCTACTCTTACATTTTTAACATGCTTAAAGACTAGTTGAGTGGTTGTCAAACTACAGCCCAAGGGCCAATTCCAGCCTGCTGCCATTGTACAGCCAGAGAGCCAAGACTAGCTTTTACACTTATAAATGGTTGAAAAGAAATCAAAAGATTATTTTGTGATATGTGAAAATCATATGAAATTTAAATCTTTCCTTTAATGTAAGTAAAATCAAGGG